AATCAGTCAGGTGAAATCTAATTCTAATAGACCTCCCAGAGTGCTTTTGATTATCAAGGTGAAACCAGGATCAGATTCTTTGTCTCTAATTAATAACTAAATTCCTTTCTTCTGAAGAGAGGAGTTGAAGAATTGTTGCAGTCTAGTCTACCAATCCAAAATTTAAGAAATCAGAGAAGGTTGTCGTGTCAGCAGTTGAATTTTGCAAACAAAGCAAAGGTCAGATGCATTTCTTTTCCCTCTCATTAAACAAACTGAAAAAGGATTTGAATTAAGTCAAACAGTTGAGGATTGCTGAATACAAGCTAGAGAAGAAAAACGAGTAAATGGAAATGTACATTCAATGTGGAGCACTAATACTTAGTTATTTGTTCACTGCAACAGTTTAGAGAAACAAACTTTTGAAGATTTAGTTTAATTGGTGCTCACTGTTGAATTTTCCAGCGGTTCTTTGGTTCCTTTCCAGTTATTTCTAAAGGTTTTGGACTAGATCATTATTACTTCTAAAGTAGAGTTCAATTCTCTAAATGTAGTCATTTCATTAAATGAGACTTTTTCATGCAAAAGGAAAAAAAAAGTAGATAAATAAAAAGAAGTCCAGAGGTAGCTTATAAGTCATTTCCTTAATTTCACCAAATATTTCTCTAGATGCTGAAGTGAAAAGTATATGCTGTGTTAATTGCTAACAGAGCTTCACATTTTCCTCTCTGTTCCTGTTTTGGTCTTTTTTCCCAGCAGGACCTTCCCTTTTCTCCCTTCTCTCTGTTCCTTACCTCTCCAAACAGGTACCTGATTGCAACCACACTTGATTTAAGAAAAACTGAAAAAAATGTTAAAACCTTTGGGTCTAATCTTGCACAGAAGACACAACTTAACAAGCAGAAAGATGAAAGGGAAGCAGAAAGGGCTGGCAAAAAAAGTGAGGCACAACACAGGGGCAGGTCAGGACTCTGAAACAGAATGCGATTCACATGAACTTTTAAAAAAAGCCTCATACTTTCAAAAATAAATTTTCCTTTGAAAAAATTCTACAAAAAGTTTGTCTGTTTCTTTCATCTCCTGATTCTTCAGTGAATTTGAAATATTCCCTCAAGAGAGGGATGAAAAAAAGGACATTTTATTCCATATTAGGGGTTAAATTGAGAAATGAAATCGTTCATACAAGCCGAACGGTAGTATAGTTGAACATTATTTCTTACTAAATCTCACAAGGTAGCAAGGAACACATTGGCTGTTTAACTGCACATGTTTTAAGGTTTTTAGACAGTGTTAGACAGCAAAACTGTATACAGTACGCTGACTTGGGTGGAGTTTGAGGTCATTAAACAACATATTTAGATAAAAGTTTTTATATTTTCACAATGCAAAGTACTTGGGAACTGACATAAAGATACTGAAGTTAGTTCTTCTAATTGAAAAATTTTAATAATCCGGTGTGCAAGGTCACTCCTGATTTGGCCTATTATTGTCTATTTTCCATCCTACCCGCTTCCAACACAACCCTCTACTCTTTTATTATCAGGTTGACTGATGAGCCTTAGCGTGTATACGATCATTTGATCATTTCCATTAACTTATTCCTTCGTCTTTCATTCACTCGTGGGTTACTGTGTTACTGCCCTTTCATTGTATGCACTTTCTCTTCTTATCAGTGTGTTAGGAGAAAACTGAACAGAAATGACTACAACAGGATCTCTGTTAATGAAAGTGGCACATGAACTAAATTTACAACACAAGAGAAATGTGAGTAAAATACCAAGAGATTGCAAGAGGAAGGAAATGTTGGTTCTGAGTTGCAGATTGCTGGGCATCAGAGAATACTCAGAGGAAGCAACATTTGGATGGGACTTGAAGATGAGGAAAGGCAGACTACATGGAGCCTCTCACAAGGCTGAGGCACGAACAAGGCACTGGCCGAACATAGCACACAACCTACACAGACTTCATCATTTTGCTGAATTTTCCTTAACATTATCCTGGGAAACCTATGGATACCAGAGTACTAGTCTCCAAACATGGAAGCCTGCAATGTGGCTCAGATATCCACATATTCCAAAAACGATTCTTAACGTACAACTTTCAAATAGCTGAATCAACTGATTCTCAGGCAAATATAGAAAAAAAATGTTAAAATTGTATTTAACTCATTGATTCATAAGAGTTTCAGTAAAATGACAATATGACTGACTCAAATTATAGCTGAGAAGCTAGGCTATTTATAGGATGTTAGATTCATTGAGTAGGTTACCAAATTGGTTACTAGCCACCAGAGCTGTGAAACACAATCTCTACAGTTATGTGCTCCACAGAACAGAAATTATTTATATCTCTACTGGACAAAAATCTACAAGCTAACCAATAACTTCAACATATCTGAGAGTTTAATCATGGTAAATGGTGAATCAAACTAAGTGCATTTACCTAAATAATTTTCAGTGCTCTTTGCCCTAGTATAACACTGAAAGGGTCTATCAATCATTTTTTGCCTTATTTTTCAATTTTGGACGATTTTTTAGACAGTGTACATAAATTCTCATTTACAGCCAATGTCGGAAAGACCTAAACTTGGAGTTTCTATGACTACCACAAGCCAGTGCACGCCACATTTCTCATCTTGTTATGTGATATAGGTGGTATCAAGAGTGGCGTGTGGAAGATGGTTGATGTTGGGATTGGAGTTCTGGAAGCATTAAAATCAGAGGCTTCAGGACTGTAGCAGAGGTGAGAAAAACACCTTTCTGGGAGGTCTATGAAGAGCTAATCCCACCCTGACTATTTGTTTTATATAAGATGACAATACATTTTTTACTGACAAACCTTATGATACTAATTTTAAATTGACTCAAATAATGAATTATCTAGAAATTGCAGGTTTAAACGGCCTCTTTTTCTAGACTTAATAAAATACTGAAAAAAAATTCTTTGAACTACTGATTTGATTAATACAAAAAATTACATATGCATTTATCATGGTATATATGATGAATTTGAAGAATGATCACAGGAGCTTCAAAGTGACACAAAGGTCATATACATCACAATGTGAATCATGGGTATTCTAAATTACAGGTGGAAAATTATCAAACTTTTTTTTTTCAGAGTTCCCAAGGTAACCTTGAAACTTCTGCATTTCCTTCCAAAAGTAAGATTAGCAATTTGTAGAAAGCAATATCTATTTGAGATATTAAATAAGAAAAAAATGGGATTTAATAAACTACACATCTCCAAGTCAGAACTGCTTCTTATGGCAAAGGTTAGGTTGAAGGGTACTATAAATTCAAATATGAACTAATAATCAGAATCTTACAAAATAACTTGGCAGGGACCCAAAATGAACTTTGAAATATGTTTAGTAGGAAAATTGGGCAACTGATGGCTGTATCTTCTTAACTAATGAAAAGTGCAGGTTTGCAAAAATCACAGTAATAATTTATTCCACAGAAATAAAATGAAATATTAAGGGAATAGGGAACAATTTTAATATAATCATAGATCACACGAATACAGAATGTAGCTGAGTATATACTGATTCCACAAGCATTTGCAACAGGGTGCTACATGTTAAGTAAAACCACCAGTATTTTTTATTCACATTCTCTACCAGTCAAATAGTTGCAGATTTTCTACAAGAACAGCATCAACAATAGCAGCATTTGATCAGATTGAAAAATTGGATTGTTTTCAACCTATCTGCAGTGAAAATGGTATCACAGAATGCTCAATGAGACAGATTAGCTTTCCTGGTGGTTTAAGATGCACTGTCTAACCTATTTCTCATTCCCTCAACACAAAAGAATGAAAGATACTCAATATATGTCCCCTGACAATTTGGATACGTCTGAAAAAAAGGTGTGGAACTTGGCCTCATTTTTCATCCAGGCATTTCTTAAGCTTGACACTTGCCGAACTGCCCTTTGTTAACTATGAAAATGCCATAGTATGTTTTAGATTACGTAGTCATCCTTAGGCCAACTCCACAATGGATGTGCACAGGAGCTCCCAGCTGGACCCCGTGGCTCTGCAAGAGGGAGTATGTATTTACCTGAGGAAGAAACTTTTACTTTGCCTTGACCTCTACTTAGCCAAGTCAGATAACTGCACCTCAGAAGGTGATGAGGCATGGGGGAGCACTGGCCGGAGAGGAAGGGGAATGAGTTTGTCTCCCTGGGTCCTTTATGGACTAGTGAAGTGAAACTGGGTGCTGCCCAGGAAAGCCACATGTGCCAGATATGCCAAAATTCCTAGAAAACTGTTATTTGTACCAAATGGAAGAAAGACACTAGATAAGTCTCCTACTCCAACGTCACCCAATAGATAAGCTCTTTATAACAATAATGGTTGAGAGCAAAGGGGGAACAAACCCAAACAATAACTAGCTTCACAAATTTTCTCTCCTTAGGCCATCACTCAAACAAGTGGACGCACTTGCTTTCAAACAAAAGCGAACAACAAAATGAAGGAAAACAGCCATTAGGAGAGAAATTTCTGAGGATTAAATTATAAATTGGACAGAAACGAGAGAGTGGGCCAAGATGGTGGAGTAAAGCTACCCTGATCTCACCTCCTCTCACGAGCACACCAAAACCACAACTATCTGCAGAACAACCACCTGTGAAAAAGACCAAATCCTACCAGAAAAGATCTACAACTAACGACCTAAAGAAGGAGCCACGACAAGATGGGTAGGAGGAGCGGACTCATAACATAATCATGTCCCACACCTCTGGGATGGGCGAACCACAAACTGGAGAATAATTATATGGCAGAGGCCCTCCGACAGGAGTGAGGGTTCTGAGCCCCATGTCAGCCTCCCCAGCCCGGGGGTCCGGCACCAGGAAGACGAGTGCGTTTATGTTCGAAGGCCAGAGGGGCTTAACTTCGGGAGTCCCAGCGGACTGCGGAAAACAGAGACCTCACTCCTCAGGAGCACACACAAAGCCTCTGGTGCACGAGACCCAGGGCCAAAGCGGTCATTTGATAGGAACCTCGGCCAGACCTACCTGATGGTCTTGAAGAACTTCCTGGAGAGGCCAGAGCAGCGGCAGCTCACCCTGGGACACAGACACTGGCGGCAACCATATTTGGGAGCTCGGTCTACGACGTGAAGCCGGAAGTCGGTGCTGGCGGCACCTGGCCCCGCCCAACAGCCCGGAAAGACCTCCTGCGGGGAGGACCGAACTCGGAGCTGCTGTGACTACCACAAGCCGGTACACGCCGTATTTCTCTTCTTGTTACGTGATACAGCAGGTGTCAGGAGTGGCGTGTGGAAGACGGTGGACGCTGGGATTGGAGTTCTGGAAGCATTAAAGTCAGAGGCTTCAGGACTGTGGCAGGGGTGAGAAAAACCGCCTTTGTGGGAGGTCCCACTCCTGACCATTTGTTTTACGTGAGATGACAACATATGTTTCACTGACAAATCTTACGATATTAATTTTAAATTGGCTCAAATAATGAATTATCTAGAATGCCAGGTTTAAATGACCTATTTTCTACAATTATTAAAATATTTTAAAAATTCTTTGTATTACTGATTTGATCGATTAGTATAATAAGGCACATATGTATCTATCATGATATATTTGAAAGCATAATGGCTGAAAACTTCCCTAATCTGGAAAAGGAAACGGTCACTCACGTCCAAGGAGCACAGAGAGTCCCATTCAGGATAAACCCAAAGAGGAACACACCACAGTACACTGTAATTAAAATGACAGTAACTGTAATTTTACTAAAAGTATTAGGGCATGTAATTGCTAGAATCAAATTTTTGAAATAAGACAGAATAATACATTTAGAAATAAGAGCTTAAGCCATAGTTAGGCTGAAGTTGTAGAGCAAAGATGAGTACTTTTATAAGACTAAAACAAATTTCAATTATATAACAGGCAAATATTACATATATCTGACTCACATTCACTAAGTGTGACTGTCTTTAAGGTTAGTAGGAATAATCACTTCACTTTTCCAGGGTTGTCACAAGCCATATGGCAGTTAAGTACAGAAGAGAAAACAAAGGCACAAAGGGTATTTTTAGTCAGTCTGTTACTTCCAGTCATATTAAGGATACATTTGGATTGCCACTTATGACTGGGTTGACTGTCACATAATTAATAGTTGGTACTAAAAATGTTCAGCTTCTTATATTGCTGAAGTGTGGTCCCTGTCTTAAAATACAGATGGAAGACAATAAAATAATATAAATAATTTATTTTGTCCATGTATTGGTGTGGTAATTGTTGGCAGTTTATTCTGTCATCATGGTTTATTCATTTTATGTAATTGAAAAATTTTCTTCAGGGTACCATGTATTTAATTTTTATTCAACCATAAACTGAAGCAGTCAGAAGCAGCAGCTGTTTTACTAAGTAGGGAGAAGTTTTCTGGGGTTTTTAGTGTTTTTTTCTTCTTATTTTAGCCTATTAGAAGTTCTAATCTTAGGTATGTCCAAATCTTATCTTTGCAGGTAACATGGAAAGAGAAGCAATCATAATAACAATTCAAATTTTTATTTCCACTATTGGTAAAATAATCTTAGGAAGCACTCTCACTTCACTTCACTACTAAAACAAAAACACTACACAAACTCTAATGACATTCCGTAACCAACTCAATAATGTTTATAATTTCTAACCTGACAGTTCAGATATTTTATAACTTGTTTCCCAACCAACCTATTCATTCTTAGATCCTGTAATTTTACCTCAGTTTCTCTGGAGTCTGGTTGAGATAAAATACAGAAAAAAATTGCTTACCTAAACTCACGTGACTTGCCAGATCAGGCAACACACTCCATAAATTCTGTAAATCTTAATGACGGATAACAGTTTTACTTACCATGAATCAGTTGTCTTTGTTCTCAAACTTGTCTGTCATTTTTACTTATGAGTATGAAATTAAAAGATATGCAGTATATGTGCTTTGTTGTTGAGAAGAGCAATGTGAAAAAGACTTACCTCTGAGAGCCAGTTCATACATGGGCTTTCAATCCAAATTTGTACCATCTGTGAATTCTCAAGCCTTCAAAGCATTAATATACTTCAGTACGGCCCCTGGTTGGATGTGTCCAAAATACCTGGCAAAAAAAGCAAAGCAAATCCGCTCTGAAGAAAATCACCCTAATCCCAGGCTACAAGGAATTTCGCCAAATAATTTTCTAATAAAGTTGAGTAGTTAATGGTCAAACCCCTTTAGCACCAAGAAAATGAGTCACCATAAGCAAGAACTAGCGACCCTTTCACCAAGGCAACAGAATTAGACCTACAGAGACTACAAACCCTTGAAGGACATTTGGTCCAGACCAAAACATCCATAAGATAATTGGCCCACCCCAAAATGTCCTTGATATTTGCCGGACCATTTGGTCCTGTCCGAAATGCCCATAAAGCATTTGGTCCATGTCAAAAGATCCTTGATATTTGATCCTGTCCAAAACCATTTGGCATGGACCAAATATGCTCATGAAAATTTTGTGTAGGACCAAATTTCAAGGACCTTATGGCATGGACAAATGTCTGCTAACCAACGAAGACAAGTATTTTTTAAACCCATGCTTACTACTACTTAGGGAAATATAACTCAAACTTGAAAGCATAAACAGAAAATAAGAAACTATAAAAACCTTATTGAGCAGATTTGCAAATTAACCAAATGAAATGTTTTAATGTAAAATGTGATTTAAATTAAAAACCCAATGAGGGACAAATGAGAATATGTGTATATGCATGTCCCAGTGAACTGCAGTTTCAATTTTTACACATCAAAAGGTGTGAGAGAGAAGAAAAAGGCCAGGGCACACATTACTTAAAAGCTTCAAAATGATACCTCTTATAAAGTGGAATCTCATCATAAATACCCCTCACCCCCGATCCAACAACTGAAAGGAAGATTATCAGTCTTAAAATTACTTGTGTTGAATAAGGTGTGTGTGAGGGGTTCTACCATGGCAGTTCATAACAACAAGCTGATACTTACATGATTCTGTAGCCAAATTCATAATAAACAATAACTTACTGCATCACTTTATATGCAAACTTTTCTCCTTCTCCAATCAAACAGGAAATCTCTGCTCTAAAATGAATTTCCCATCCATTCCTGAAGTATACAATTCTCATCACTATCAGTTAAACAAACATTGTTAATGTTGTAAGAAATACCAATAGTCCTAGAACAATGTTTATTGGGAGAAAATTCAGGGAGGTAGGAGCAGGTGCATTGTTTTGTATTGCCTATTAATATTTCTTTTGAAGTAGAGTCAGTTTGAAATATATCAGTTTCTGGGGTACAGCACAAGACTTCAGTCATATAGGAGCATACACACATTCAGTCTCACATTCTTCTTCACCATAGGTTACTACAAGATGTGTTGCCTGTTGCTTTCTATGGCAGTATATGATGATTCAGCCCGGCTGAGTGTCAGAGTCACATAATTCACAATATGAGGGAAGAATCAGCTCCTTTCCTGATGTGATCAGGAGTGAGAGAGAAATCCTCTTATGACAATTCAAGACTTCCATAACTATTCTGCCAACGCACCATTCGTGGCTGGGGTAACAATCCCTTCTCTGGCTTGATCAAAGTCTTCAGCCCAAGTTTCATGACTGTGGCTATACGGTACGACTTATGAGTGGTTTCTAGGACTGAGCTGATCCCTCAATATTTTACTCAGTTCACTGCCTTATATACTTACTTGTATATTTTCCATGGCATGTTTCCAACTCACAAAAGATTCTTCACTTTATGAGGTCATCTCTATCCCTTTGGGAGTTCATCCTGTAAGACATCAATATTGGGCAAATTAGCACTTACCCTCACTATTCATATAATTTTGTCAAAGCTGAACTTGTATGCAGAACATCTCACCCACTGTTTCCAATTCATCTAAATCCTATACAGGATAAAGCCTGTCTACTTTATCAAATCTTCCAAAACCATTCATTTTACCCAACTAGACACCTAAGGCAGTGGTTCCCAGTGATGGAATCCTGGTGCCCTTGTGTACAGAGAATCATGGGAGGGAGAAGAGAGAGATGAGTTACAGGTGGCTTTCTGGAATTTCTATACACTTTATGCATGATGTAATCTGGTAAAAAAAAAAAAGCCATCATCCTAGATAGACACATATACGAGAATATCTTCTTTCAATGGCCTGACAGAAAAAGAATGCAGTCTTCTATCCACACTATGATATTTTTGCCTGAATTATTTATTTTGGTTCTTAGCTCATGCCACCTTGAGTTGAACAATTTTAACATATTTATTATTTTGAATCTGCTAAATCATATTCTTTGAGGATAAATTGTATTTTTGTCCTCCCAAAAAACTAGCAAATCACTAGGTTCCCTCAATACATTTTTATTGAGAAACTCAGTAAGTTTCAAAGTACAACATGTAACTTGCAAAGATGGGATACTACTGTTTATGAATAACCCATCCTTTCAGTGAATGTCATTCACCAGTAGTTAGTGGTACAGTATATTGGCTGATCTTTTTTCTTTTATCAAGTTAATAGCTCAAGTTAAGATTAATGTCTACAAAAGACGAATATATGACTATTTGAGATTTTACTTATACAAAAGTTGACTAAAAACATGTTTATTTATTTATGTCTATCAAATAATTGACTGATTGACCCTAGGTAATTGACAAAATGTCTCTGAGTATCAACTTCTTCATTTAGAGTGATTATAAAGACCAAATTCAAGCACTCTGTGTGTCATAAAGTTATTTTGTGACTGTGTCTTACTGTTAGTGCAGTAGGACTAACACATGTCTTCAGCAAAGCTCATGCGGATGTGAATTAGAATGACTGGACTTCAACAGAAATTCTGGGGAAATACATGACTAAAAATTTAGAGAATGATGAGTAGCAATATTCTGGAGGGGTCTAGCCATACCTTGCCTCACTTGCTGTAAATAATTTACAACCCCTGAGTTAGGATTGGCCCAGATATTCAAGAAGTATGTTGATTATGCCATGGTTTTCTTTTACTTCCAATGAAAAGCTTCTTAAAACTTGGAGAGATCAACAACTGTGGCTCAAATATATTAGCCTTTAGTCTTCATGTAATTTTGAGTTTTACCTGTAGCATCTTAATATACTGTTCAGATTACATCCTCTTCCCTAGGTTCTACTTTCACTTTCTGCAATTAATTTATATTACATAATTATATTGCTAAGTCATTCTAAGGGTCAACTACCTTTAACCCCAAAGTACTTTGGTAGCTAGTCTATTGCAGAACATTGAGTTGTATTACTAATTGGTAGTGAGCTTTTCATTTCTTTGGTTTGATTCTCAACGTATTACCTTCTTTTTAAAACCATAATTACATACATTTCTCTTTCAGATTCTTAGTTGGCTCATTTTCTTCTGCAGCCTAATATTATGATTCTCTGTATTTATTTAACTCTCTCCTAAGCATCATATAATTATGAAATGAAATTGCCAGCCCTTAATGTTATCAGCAAAATCCATTAAATAATTTCTTTAGCCTGAATTGCCCCTTTCTCATTAAAGCAGCCTACTGTTTCCAATGATTCTTTTCCAGCTTAGATAATATTGTTAAAAATACAAGTAATTATACACGTGCTTATGTATATTGTGCCTATGATGTGCCAAACACTGAAACTCTCTATCTATGGGAATATCAGTTCAGTTTGATTCAACTTAACACACATTTATTTGATGCCAGATATACGTCAAAGCACTATTCCAGGTTGTGGGGATGTAGGAATAAGTAGTACACAGTGATCTTTCTCAAAGAACACACCATATAACAGAAAAAAAACTGACACAACATGATAAGCACTATGAGAGAGGTGGAGGACACATCATTAGCACACACACAAAAAGAGTCAATCAAGTTGACCCTGAGGGAACGTTGGGTTGCAGGTGCCTTTATAGACAGTGTAGAGATGGTTATTATCTTTGGCTTCCAAGTATAAATGGTTGCTGTCTATGTTGTCACCTAGTTGTCCTAACTTAACCTACATCCTAGGGAGGCATCAGTGGGCACTAACTGAACAAAGATCTATTGTAAAACAGCATTTTCCCTGGCTGGTGAAAAAGATGATGACAGTACGGTCAGCAGAAAACCCTGGTTTTACTACTGCTTTTTAAGCATGGCTTCTGGTCCAGTTTCTAACAGCTCTCTGCTCTTCCTCTGAGCTTCCTTTGCGGGAGATGGAGTATATTCTCTCCTAGCCACAGATGACTCACTCCACGTTACTTGTAAGATCTGGAGCACTTTCTCAGCCTTGGCTGCACAACTACAATTACTTTGGGAATATATATTTTTTTGAAAAACATGGATGCCCAGTTGTTATTGGTAGATGATCTGATTCAAATGCTCAGAGATAGATCCAGGCACAGGAATTTTTTTAAGCTCTTTGGTTGACTACAGTGTGCAGCCAGGATTGAGAATCACTGTGCCAGAAAACCCCAAATATGTGGTAGGCATTAGAGGTTGCTCTGGACTTGCTGAAATTACTAGTAAATGGACAGGGAGATTGAGCTTCTAATTTCTGCAGATGGGTTGGGGTACTGATAACTTCAGTTCAACCTAGCAAGAACACATGGTGATACTCTTCACACTGCTATTTTATGAATGAGCAGTGATGTACTTAGTAACCAGATCCCTGGGAGGGAAAAAAAATCTCATTTATAGATTTGATTATCTCCATGATGTAAATAGAACTACCACGGTTATTTTCAGGTATCCATCTGATCACTAAACACAAAGTTGGGAAGAGATGCATAGAAAGTAGCACATCACTATATAATATTTCCAAAATACAGATACAACTATTACTTCAAGAGCATAGAAAATAGCAAAATATATTTTTAAAAGAAAGTAATTTTGAGCATCTATTTTCTTTTTAATATAATTTATTTAATTATAAATTTCTAATTTTGAATAATGGTTATGTTCAACAACTGACTCACATAAATCTTAAAAATGTACGTGGGCCATTATGACATTCTATGGACAGGCTTCAGTACACCACTGTATAAGCCAGTTTACCTGTGAGCAGCACCAGTATTCAAAATTCTTAACAACTAGTTCCGCCTAGGCACCAGCCAATCAGAATGGATGTGAGCCAGGATGCCACAAGGCTTTACAAGTGTCTACAAGGCTTTAAGACATAGACATAGGACAGATCCTATTCATCATTCACTTTTATATCCCTTAAGGTTCCTTGCACACTGCCTTGAGCATAATGGGTGATCTCAAGTAGTTTGGAAAGACTAAATGGCTAAAAGAGTGAATGAATGAATAGATTATATATTAGAGAAGGTGACTCCATAGTAGTCTCTATGACTAAGGACTCATATTTTGACAAACCCCTTATTTCTTTTTATAAAAAGAGCTTGTGATTGGCTGGGGATTTTCGTGGTGAAAAAGTAAACAGCATTTTATCTATTCGTTTCCCTTAACAATCTTCTTTTCTATAGGTGGAGGTTTTCCATTGAAATAGATTCCACCCCAATTTTTATGCTCCAGCAAATTGAAGTCCTGCTATTCTCAGATACGCCTAGCCCTCTCATGCTCCATCCAACTTGTTTGTTTCTTCTTTGTACACACTTTTCTTGGCTTTTCCTTTTGCCTTGTGCCCTCAGTTATTTGGGAATCATCCACCTCTCTCAAGGGTCAGAAAACCTTTTTCTACTCGTCTCTACACCTGCTGTGAGACTGGTTACCTTCTCTCCTGTGCTTCCACTGTGATTGCTACATAATGCTAACATAATATCTAACACTTTCTATGAGCTCAATTGTTTACGTATCTGCATTTACTGACATTCCCTTTCCTATCTTTGGGGAGAATGGGAGCCCCTTGAAGGCAACATTGTCTTTGACATCCCCTTGCTGCCCCCTCTTCTGAATCCCTTGAGACTTTTTACTGGCTATTGTACATTTGCAAACCCCTTTAACCCCTTTCTAGAGCTAAGGCTCTTTGAAAGCAGAGGTAGTATATACTCTTATCATTATTTCTATATAATAACAATGTGGTGGACTTTGGAGCCAGACTCCTCAGAATTAAGGTCCCATTATTAACTATATATGTGATTTAAACTAATTATTTCCTTCTGCTTCAGTTTCCTTATCTAAAAAAAAAAAGTTGTTAAAAACATACTGATCTTACAGAGTGTTAAGAGGACAGAATGATTCAATTCATAAAAATTTACTTAGAACAATTTATTGTAAGCACACAATAAATACTAGCTATTATTCTTACAGTAAACACCTGATAGATAATTGCCAAATGAATGAAGAATAAAACATACAATAGAGTTAATTTCACTACTGCCTTACTTATTAAACACCCTATTTCCCAGAAAGGATGAATAACTTACAATATATATTTACTATTTTAATACTACACAATAATTGAAGTTAATATTCTCTTTTATATTACTTGAAGAAAGCATTGATTTTAAGAATATCTTTTTATCTTCTTTCTGAACTTAACTTCAGGGGTTTTTCAATCTTTTTATCCCATTAGCATCCTTCTAAACTAGACTGCTTAAAAATTCATGCTCAAGGGGTCACCTTTTCTTCTGTCATATCACTTGCCTTCTAAGATGGATCTCACCCTGCCCTGAGGTGGAAAATCGTTAGCTTTGATGTAGCCTGAGACCAAAAAAGATGTGTCATTCTCCTTTAAAGAGATAAACTGAAATGTAAAGGTAATCATAAGCAAAGTACAATCTTTTTAATCTTGATCTAAGCAGAATTTGATTTCTGAAAGCACAGGAAACAGTATTCAGCCAAGACCTGGGAAACAGGAGTTATGAAGTCCCAGAATATAGCACCTGGTCTAGGAAAATAGACTATATGGATTTATTTCTACTCTAAAAATATCCTTTAAATGGTTGAATTAAGATTAACCAGGTCCTTAGTTTGAATTTACCATTATAAACATGCTTAA